AACTATTACTTGTATTCCTACTTCGTGGTTTTTCACTTATTGTGGGGCTTCAGGGTACGGAGGTACGAACCCCCTGCAATAAACGAGGGACTGTGTATTGGTATTAATTGTATGAAGTAAATAAGTAAGTTATTCTTGAGGATTTTGTTACAACTTGAATGAAATTTGGACTAAAACATGGTATGAAACCACAATTTGAAGTAATGACAGAAAATCACCCGAGTATTAGATTTGTCTATTTTTTTGTCCTTTCAGCGCTTGCCCTCTGTCATTTGTTACATTTTCCTCTCGAGCTTTATTTAATTTAGCCTGAACTCTTTTTGTTCTCCAGGTCATGTTATGGTTCACTCTGGTGCTAATGGTGGTGGTGGGGGTGGGTTGGTGAGCCTTATCTTATTACTCACAACCTGACTGCTGCAGCCTCGGGGTATGGTGAAATTCTTCACCCTTTACCCTCCAATTCTCCATCACAGAAGAACCTAGACTCACCTGCAAACACCTGTGCTTTTGTCCCATCCAAATCCCCCCCACTCCCTCTGGAAGGGAGTATACGGGCCCATGCCTGTGGCTATGTGAAAACACAGACAACTGTTTGACTTGATTAGTCAGTTAGGATCAGATAATAGCAGGAAACTAGGTTAATTGACATTTTGCTCAACACATGATTGAAGTCTTTTGTGCTAATGAGCTGCAACCCGACCCTCCCCAGGAGCCTCTCATTAAGGGTAAAGTTTGCGTAACTCGTGAAGTCAATGAGCTTAAATACAGCATGAGACAATGTTTTAAGGTTGATCTTTAAGTTGACGTTAGTTAAACTGAAAAACAGGTGTGTCTGAGGAGTGTAGTGGTTTGTTTTTTTGTGAATGGAGCGACTGTGGGCAGACCATATGGAACAGATTGTCCAGTTTCTGCTTTTGTCTCCACGTGTCAGTGAATGTATGTATTTTTTATGACCTTGTTTGAAGCAACACTTAATGTTTCCTGGCTTTCTAAATAAAAGAAGTAAAAATAAAGCCAAGGCTACAGTGTGCCACCACCACTGCAGAACCAGTTAAAAATACCAGTAGCAGCTGAGGTTTTAAAAGCCACTGACCATCTTCTTAACCCCCCACCCTCCTTTGCTGGTCTGACACACCCTACCCAAACCCTATTCCCAGTGTTGGCTTTTCATGTTGTGGACTCAACCGTGCGCCCACTTCAGACCACCATAAACATATTGGTCCCTGATGACAAAGTTGGCCCCGGGACGTTTTATATAAATTGACCTCAACTACAGCTCATTAGAAGCCTTAAATTGGAACCATGCAGCCTGGGAAGTGTAAATGTTATAACAGCAGAGCTTCAGGGGGGTTCCATCTGGCCCAGCCTCCTATTCACTTGTGTTGTTTGTGTTGTTGTTTTATCATTATTTTCTTCGCAATGAGAAAAAAAAAAAAAACTTCAGCGCATTTTGACATTTGTACCACGTGTTTGCTCATCATACGGTAAAATCACCTGCCGCCGATTCAAAAATGAGTGAAACTTCTGCTTGAGGGCTCATTTGGCCTGTACTGAGGCTGTTTTACTTTTAATGCAGCGTGGGAAGGCCTCAGGTATTTTTTATTAGTCTGGAAAAGTCCGACAATATTATGAAATATATATATATTTTTAAAACTTGTCAAAGCCCCCCAAAATGCCACCTCAGAGCTTGATTTGTAAAACGTGTAATAGTCGGTGAAGCTTCTTTTAGGCATTTTTCTCTCCAAATCTCCTCTTTCATCGTGCATCTATGTCTTAATTGGGGTCCTTTGTTTGACCTCCTCCCTCAATAAACAATACAACCACAGCTCCCTTGTTCTGTTCTCCTCCTGACTCTGCTGAAGCATCGCTCTCAGTAATTACCTCTTGGAGAGTAGAGTAATTGTCTTGAGTGTAACTACAGAGCCTCTCTGAAAGGGGGTCATTGTGTCAACTTAAGACTCCAATTCAGTGAACGGCTTTGTTTTTGGGAATATAATTAAAGTATTTACTTGACTGTAGTGAGATAGAAAGAGAAAAATAAAACAATATATCAACAGGTTAGGGAATCAGGATGAAGTATTGAAAATCAAAGAAAGAGATTTGTTTTATTCATTTATTGGTCATCTCAGAATGCACTTGTGAAATAAAATTGGGTTGGGGGGAATCATTTGTTTACTCTTAAAAGCACCACGATTTTGACGATTCTGCGCCAAAAATGTACAGCAATGTGTAGTTTTATGAGGTTTCATGCTTCATTGTTATTTACAGTATCTTTTACACCCTCTTCACAACAATCAGGAAACAACAGAAATCCGAAACTAACAAGTTAAGGCCCCTATGATTATGCTTTTCTTAGTAAAATAAACATCTTTTCGGGGCGAAAAGTTATACAGAAAAAAAATGAAAATACATAAAAAAAGTAGAAAAATAGCACACCTAACAATTTCTATATACCGTTACCAATATATAGTATATACAAAAAGTAGGAAGCCCTTATTACTCGTTGCTTTGCCAGGTGTAAAAAAGTTCACAAATAAAGAAAAAGATACATAATTAGGTAACACACATAACATTATTCAAAATCTATAAATAAAACTTTAAAAGCATAATTTCCAAACTCAACTTCATAACTTATAAATAAGAACAAAATGTTTTAATTTATGATGTTTTATTTCATTTTTGGCCGGCTTTACCCATTCATTTTTTTTAGGTATAATATTTCCTGCGGGATGCAAGATAATCTTTCACGTACATAATTTAAGACTTAAATTAGATCATTTGTGTAAATATAAAATTAAATTAGACATGGAAAGAAGCAAACAGTAAAAAGTGTAATATGACACCTGCAGTATAATGTACAGAAGAACTGTAAGCGAGACTGTCCACTTATAATAATGAATATGTATGAAAGTATGGCTGTAAATCAGATTTCTCTTCAAGCAGGCAAAGCTACACGAGTTCCATCATCCCAACCATAAGTCTTGTTCTAAAGCCACGTTCTGTTTGCAGCCTCAGAGCTCTTTTCCTTCTGCTTTTGCAGATTACATTTCCCCCCCAGTGGTTTGTCTCATTTGAAAGGCAGAAAATGTGTGCAGACTACTCAATGTTCACATGACAATGTTTACTTTTATGTGTGTCTGAACAGGCATGCTTTTGTGGCTACCCTTGAATGCATGAATGCATTATATATGCTTACACATTTGCTCAAAGTTATTTTTGTGCGTGCAAGTGTGTCCATGTGTGCATCTGTGTTCTTATACCTTGGAGTTTGATTGTGCGAGTCTGTGTGTGTGTGTGTGTGTGAATTTGTCCACATGTGCTTTTACAGAGCTTGCATATTTTTTTTCCTTGTTTGTGTGGTTCAGAAGAAATAAAACATTTTCTTGTAACGTTCACGTATTTAGCATATTTAGTCTTTTCTAAACTTCTATGTGTAGTTTGAGGACAAATATACCTTATTTTCTTTTTTTATTAGACAAGTAAAATTTTCTCCATTAAAACAAATCTGTAATATGGCAAACGTGTATTGCATAGAGGACTTGTTGGGGTTAGATCTCCAACAACCCACTGCTGTTTTCCACTCCATTAGGTGCTCCACTCTTCTCTTCGCCGTTGGTGATTTGGTCAGTGACTGGATTGGTGGGGACGGTGTTGGAGTTGAGCTCTGCGGTCTCTTCGCTCCGAGGATCGGCGTCTCCCTCCACGCCTACAGCTTTGCCCTGTATGGCGGAGTCGGCATGGGTTTTCTGATGCTTGGAGAGGTGGTCGCTGCGTGTGAAACGTTTGTTGCACAGAAGACAAGTAAACTTCTTCTCTCGCGTGTGGGTGCGCACATGCCTCTCCAGTTCATCTGAGCGGGTGAAGCGTTTCCCACAGAACAGCCAGTTGCAGACGAAGGGCCGTTCGCCGGTGTGCCAGCGCAGGTGAGCCTTTAGGTGGGAGGCCTTGCCGTAGACTTTCCCACAGCCTGGAATGTGGCAACTGTGGACTGGTTTCTTCCTGAGGGTTGCTGCTGAAGCGCCCAGCCTCTCCAGCTCCTGGCAGTTGGGGCAGTCACATGAAGACCTGCTGGGTGTAGCCCCTCCACCATAACCCCCTGATCCCCTAGCAGGCTTAAGGCCCATGGGATTCTCAATTAGCCCTGCGCTTGGCACAGGCTTGGGCTTGTACATGTCCTGGGGCAGCATGTGCTGGGTAGGTTGGAGGAGATGTGAGGAGGAGCCCAGTCCCACAGAAGGGTAAGGAGCTGGGTTGAGTTGTGTAAAGTCAGAGCTGTAACTTGGCAGCTGTGGGCTAAGGGATGCCTGTGGTGCCACGGGCTGAAGAGAAGCCTGCAGACCTCCATCGGCCTGGTTCTGAGTCGCTGACAGCCAGTTGGAGTTGGAGTGGACGTCCCACCAGGAGGACGTGGCATTAGCAGGAGCAGCAGTTATACCAGGGTGGATTCCGGCCTTATACCAGGAGCCATAAGGGTGTGTCATATCCAGCGAGGTATAGACACTGGTGAGACAGTCAGCTGTAGCGTGGGTCTTGGACACTAAAAGAGATGGGTCCTGAGAGGCTGAGGTCTGGAAGGAGTGGGAGAAAGGGTTGTATTCGGAAGCGTAGCCTCCGGCAGAGGGAGGAGGGCTTCCAGTGGGAGTAAGCAGCCCACCACCTCCTCCAGCTGTGGTGAATGAGCCAGTGTAGGAGTCTGCCAGGCCACTGCCATCTAAAGTCCGCCCGTTCTTAGCTGTCTGAAGATCAGAGGTCATGGTGTACTGCTTCTTTATCGGAGAGCTGCCGGTTTTACCAGGTGTGGCTGAATCCCTGATGGGGCTGGTGCTACCAAACTTGTTACAGGTAGCGGTTAGCATAGCCAGAGGACTGGAGCCATAGCGTGCGTCTTCCTGGAGAGGAGAAGACAAGAGAGGAAATGAGACCGTCTGTCTGCAGGAAGTGGCGGCTCGCTGCTACTGCTGCTTCTGGACGTGTCAACTCTAATAAAACGTGCATGTCTGACTGCTTTTTTTTTTTTTTTTTTTACATTTACAGACCAGTTGGGGTTATTTCATGCAGTGGATTCTGTTCTGCTCAGAGAAGGAGAAACTTTTTTAAACTTATATCGCTGTTCACAAATTGATTTCCTCAGTGCTTTAAAGGTTCTAGTTCTCACAGTTTTGAACATACTGTGCACTCGTATAACCAAATGGGTTTCAAATTTACAGTCGTGTTGGCCCATCATAAAACACATGAGGTGTTGTATTTAATAGTTTTCATAAAAATTAAAACGTTAAATAAAATAATCATTTAAGAATTTATATGAATCAAGTTTTAATACAATTTGAAGAAAAATAAAATGGATTTTATGCCCCTTTTTGTAATACAGAACAGTAACAGTAGGTCTAATTAGTTAAAACACTTAATTAGGTTTAGGTAACACATTTATTTGTTACATTTTTGCACTAAATCTAACAGATTATGTTTAATAAATTATACAATTTTATTAGGTTCAGGAAAAAGAAATTGTTGCCTGTGATACAAAACTGAAATTCTTATACACTCCCCTCTTAAAGTTTAAACAAATATGTTGGAAGTGTTTTTCCAGATTGAGTCCAAAAATCATTTCAGTAATATTCCTCAGCTATCGAGCACTCCCTGTTCAGAGGTGATTAATAGTTATATCTCTCTTACAACCAGTTTGAGATCATTCCTCTGATCGTAGCTCATTTGGTTCTGGTTTCTAGTTAACGATGTTTCATCACATTCTTTAAGACTATTTAATCAATTCCTTGTTTTCATTTTATGCTTCCACAAGAACTGATAATTAACAACTTCTTGAAATGTTCAAATGTGATTGCTGTCAAAAATGAAATATACTCACCTGGAGGAAACATCTTGAGTTGTGAAGTTTGATTAAAACTTTCACAGATTGTTTTAAATAGCCAGAAAACTTTTTTTTTTTTTTTTTTTTTTACTTTAAAGTCCCTTTTAATGGAACGCTTATAGTCTAAGATGCCTTTAAACTTCCTCACTACAATCTCAAACTTCAAGTGCAGGAATATTCATGTGAAAGCTTGTTTTATACAAAAAAGAGGAGGAAAAGAAGAAATAAAATGAGTTCACTTACAATTACATTCCCTACCTCCAGAACAGATGCGGCCATCCCTGAGAAACAAAATCCTAAAGAAGAAGTGGAGGGGAGCAGGAGAGAAGCAGCTCGGAGTCCCGGGACACTTCGGATGGAGTCAGGCTCCAACGCGGGGAAGCGTTTTGAGGCGCTTGGGGCCCGCCCCCCCTAATTATAGGCTGTGGGCTCTTTGAAGACTCACTAAGAGGCAATAAAAACCCAGAGTTGGAGGGAAATGGACTGAGATTGGTGGCTAAGATGAGGACATCTCACCTCCCCTAAAACGAGTGTTGAATCATTTTTCAATAAGGGCGAATGGGTTCCTCATCAGTCACCATCAGGACTTATTTCAATTTATCTTGCGTTACCCCCCCCCCCCTCCTGTTTATGTGTATGAAATAAATAAAGCATTAAATTCACCAGAAACCCCTAAAAGCATCAAATGCACAGACTTTAACAGCACTTATTGACCATTTTTACACTTCTTTTTGGTTTAAAGAAAAGACGTAAAAAAAAACTTCTTTTTTTCCTGAGACTTCAAAAATAACAAAAGAGCATAAAAGCCTGGCCACATAAATAAAATAAATTAAGCTGAGCTAGACTGTGGTTTCTATATCCGAGGTTTTATTATTCTGGTTTAAAACCTCTCCCTGTTTTCAATATTCCTAAATGCACTTAACTGCCTTTTTAGTACGATGGTTAAAGAGGCTAAACTACAGAGACAAGTCACGATGGAAAGGATAAAATCATTCAATAAAATGAGTGGGAGATTATCACATCAATTAAAATAAAATTCAAACATTTATGAAGGGGAAACGACTGTTTCCTTCAGTGAGTTTGTCTAAAAAAAGAGGAAACATATAGGGGAAAAAACAGGTTTGCTGAAGGGCAACAATATAAACAATATAAAATACAAACTGCACTACAGCAAAGTATTCAGCAAATTAATTTGTTTAAATATATTTATTTCACTATGTTTTGTGGCATAGCAAATCAAACCTGCTTTTTATGAGCTTTTATTATTTTTTTTCCATACTGACAGGAAGTATGTTCAAAAAGTAAAGCCCACATACAGATTAAACTATATTTAATTTAGTCTTTAAGGTAAAACACCATTATCAAATAACACATAAAGGTTATAAAGGTTATTCACAATGTTATATAATCTTATATAAAATAATAATGAATAAACATTAGAGAATAGTGAAATAATAGTGAGAAATACTAATAAGCTTATATATTAAGTAAATAAAACTTAAAAAGAACCTTTTTTAATTAAAACATTTTTAGTGCTGGGTCAGTATTTATTTACAAAATAACTCAAGCTTTATCTCTTATAGTGCAGTGCTAAAAGAGGCTGTGGGATGAATGGGCTAAATGCATATCTCAGATACATGTCGCTCCTGTTGAGACTCATTTTTCTCACATGAGATAGTACTTTTTTTAGATATTCATTTTACTTTGATGTTCAAAAGGCCCAAAACTCGGCTTTCAAACTCAAGCAGAATTCTCAGGGCCTTCTTCTTCTCCTTCTTTCTTTCTTTCTTTTTTTTTTTTTTTTTGGTAGGCGTCTCATTTTCTGAAGGAGAGCACAGAAGATTAAAATTGTTGTCAAAAATAAACATATAATTTCTGTCCTTATTTTCTCCTCAATTACAGGGCATGGTCAGAGCAGGGCTTGTCGTTCTGGAGAGTCTGGCCCTCACATGAACACAGCGGCTATATTTGGCAGTCTGCTCTGTGACTGACCTTCAGCGCTTTATTTTCTTATTCCAGAAGGGGTGTGAGGAAAAGAACAAAGGCATCCATCTATCTATCTATCTATCTATCTATCTATCTATCTATCTATCTATCTATCTATCTATCTATCTATCTATCTATCTATCTATCTATCCATCCATCCATCCATCCATCCATCCATCCATCCATCCATCCATCCATCCATCCATCCATCCATCCATCCATCCATCCATCCATCCATCCATCCATCCACTCAGACACATTGCATCCCTCCTCACACGTGTTACGTGGCAATCTTTTCACACTTTCTGAGGCATTTCCCTCCCCTCTCATTTGACTTCTGGTCCGTCACAGACGTGCGTCTTTAAGTGAAATGTTCCTTTTCTTTTTCTTTTTAGCGATCATTAATGCTTTACGTTTAAGTGAAATGACAGGGGAGGGGGCTGCTGGTGGTGGGGAGATAACACGTTTTATAGGATTTGTCGTAATCTAAAACTTTAGCGTGTTCCCATTTACTGTCGTCTTCAAAGGAGCACGAGCGAGATCTATAATTAGAGGACGTGCGACACTCCTAACAGCCTCATCAAAAAGCTTTCGCTGCTCTATTTGCTGCCTTTGGCCTCGTGTGGCAGTGATTTTTTTAAAAGTTTGGGGTGGGGGTAAAGGTGGTGCAGGCTTGAGGGTTTTTGAAGTGTTGGGTGGGCATGTTTATGTAAATATGGTTCTATCTGAAGTGTTGTGTTGTTTCGATTGCAAAACTGCCTCATATAAGCACCAGGTAAATGGAATACAAAAATACTAGTGAGTTGTGAGGTGCTCTTTGCATCTAAGCATTGGCAATGTATGGACAGGAGGTGAAAAAAAAAACAATTTTAAAATGTAGACATGCATAAAAGTCTTATCATATTTGACAGATCATTTTACTGCATCAGTAAAAATCAGCTACACCAGCCAAGGGCTCAGCAAGAAGGCAGCCAGGATCGTAGTAGCTGAGGCTTCTCTGAAGATGACCATATTCAAATGACTGCTATTTTATGGTTAAGCCACTTAACTCTGATCTATGAGCTTTTCAAGCACAAAAAGACTTCCAAACTCAAGGAAGGAACCAGTGTTGTTTTGACACAGACATCTTCAACCATTTTAAATGGGATCCTTTAATACTTTTCTACTAGCCACCTGTCACAAAGACATTTTATTTTCATTTTTTTCAGTGAATTTACAAGAAGTAATGGACTGTCCTTATATAGTGCCTTTCTATCTTACGAAGATACTCAAAGTTTTTTACAATACAACCTGTGCCCTCATTTACCCATTCAAACAGCACTCTACTACATCTATGCAAATAATAATCAGAGCTTTATCACATTCATACACCAATGGGACACACATCAGAGGCAATGAGGGGTTCAATGTCTTGCCCAGCGACACATGGGCATGTGACTGCTGGTGGAATCGAACTCCCAACTCTCGCATTGAAGGACGACTTCTCTAACCAGTGATTCATGCATTCATTACATCCAGGCTCGACTATTGCAACTCACTCCTTTTTGGTATCAGTCAGACCTCCATAGCTAGACTTCAACTGGTCCAAAATGCAGCAGCCCGGTTTTTGACCAGCACAAGCAAAAGAGAGCACATTACACCTGTTTTGGCCTCCCTACACTGGCTTCCGGTTCACCTTCGAATCAAATTCAAAACACTCTTGTATGTCTATAAATCACTAAACAGCTCTGCCCCCTCCTATCTTACTGATCTGCTCCAGCCGTATGTCCCACCACGTTCTCTCAGATCAGCAGACCAGTTGCTCCTAACAGTCCCAGGAACCCGTCTCAAGCGCAGAGGTGACAGGGCCTTCTCTGTAGCAGGACCAAGACTTTGGAATGAGTTACCTCTGCTCGTTAGACAGGCCCCCTCCCTCACAGTTTTTAAATCTCGCTTAAAAACACACTTTTATTCCCTGGCCTTCAGCACTGTGTGATCTGTGCTGAGTCTGTGTGCATCACACTGTGTTGGTCATGTTGCGGTTGTTGTTGTTATCCATTATTGTTTTTGTTGGTTTCTACTTTTTGGTGTCCTGTTGTGTAATCTGTTGCTGTGTGCTTGTTCTGTTTGTCCCTGTACAGCACTTTGGTGTGCTTTGTCACTGTTTAAAGTGCTTTATAAATAAATTGGTATGGTATGGTAACCACTCAGCTACAGCCGCCCAAGCACCGCCATCAACACAAGTTGACACAGAATAATATTGAAGCAGCAACAAGGTGATTCTTAAGGCACCATCACCTAAAATCTTTTCATGAAATTGATTAAATAAAGGCTGAAACATTGTTTAAGTCCCACGTCAGGTCTTTGCTGTATCTAACAAAGTTTAGTCAGGTCCTCTGGATGGATTAAAAAAACAAACATTGTTGAAACGTTTTGTCTTTAATTCAAAAGACTGTCAGTTTAAGGAGCTGCACTAAGCTCAGTTTTATAAATAGCCCCTTCTCATAGCGGATTAACCAGTTTGCTGGTGACAGCCAAAACTAGCTGTTCACATGCTAAATGAGGAAAATCAGCCTAACAACCGATTGTTAGTGCTCTGATGGCCGCTTGCTAATTACAGGGGGCTGAGTGATACTACCACTAAAAGCATTATAAGAAGGTGACAACTGGACACAGAGGCTCCACCCCTGTTTAATGATGGACAATTTCTTTTCACAAAGATGGCTTCCTTTACTCCTCTTTCAAACCATCGTTCCTCTCTGTCCAGGATGTGAACATCTTCATCCCTGAAAGAGTGACCGCTGGCCTGGAGATGAGTGTAGACCGCAGAGTCCTGGCCTGATGATGTTGATCTTCTGGGTCATCCTTTTGGCCAGTGGCTGTTTAGTTTCCCCGATGTAAGACTGATCACAGCCCTCCTGACACTGAACAGCTCATACAATAATACTTAGTTTGTGCCGGGGGACTGGATCTTTGGGATGGACTAGTCTTTGCCATAATTTATTTTGGGGTCAGAAAGCCACTGGGATGTTATGTTTAGAAATAAAACATCTAAATTTCTCTGAAACTCCTGCAGCATATGAAATGACCACTGGTCAAGCACTTTGATAACAGTCTATCGGTTTTAAATTGTGCTCTATAAATAAATATGACTTGACTTGACTGGTCTGGGCCTTTGTTCCTCTTTTTCACCTGATGGCTGACTGGTGTCCTGCTTTCAGGAAGGCCGAGTTAGGATATCCACATTTCTCTAGGGCCTGTCTTGTGTGGGATTTGTTGTATATTTTCCTGTTTGTGAATAACATGATTTTATTATAGTCAACTTCTCATCCATTTATTGTTAGAGATTAATACCAGCTCTCTGTGACCTTGAACAGGATGAAGTGGTAGAA